TTGATATATCCATACCTCTAACCTAGCGGATACATACATACATGTTGCTGATATTACACGGGTTGCTGTGTAGATAAACACGACCGTCACTCACGGGTAAGATCACCCAGGTCAGGGTCCAGAACTCAAATACACTCAAATATTTCTCCAGTAGCATTCTTTCCTCAGTTAGGTTAGGTTAGGAAGTCATGTGCGGCGTATCAAGTGGAAAGATATCCTACCAGCATTGCCCGAAGTCATATACCGAACTTTTGAGCAACATACCAGTTGATACACCTGCACATTGCCATGACATCCTCTATGACATTCTCAGAGCAACAGGGTGAAAGACACACTGCGAAAGTACGATAAAAGGATGTCAGTGACAGCAAGAATATCAATCGCGATCGAAGAGATACAACTACAGTATCATAAGTGGTAGCACTCCACAATCACGGAGCGAGTACTTCTACCTTACTAGGTCATGACGCACTCCTTACGTCGAAATATACATCAGGTGCCTACATCGCAAGAGATCCAAATACCACCCGATGGACAGCAGTACTTACCTACTGGGGCAAATGAAAGCTGCTCCCATTGAAGGCTACTTGAGAGTTAATTAAGTTGGTCGACAAGAGGAGACGAGCAGGTGGAATGATTTGAGCCATCTCTCTCAACCTTACTCCCAAGCTGTCCATCGGCCAGGCTAGGTAACCTTTGAGGTCGGATGTATATATACTTGTAAGGAAAGTTAAAGTTGCCAACTATCTCGACTAGTTTCGGCTCCGATTGGTTCTGTGACGTCCTGTTAGCCTCTTCTCTCCAGTTCTTTCGAGGACTAAACGCCTTCACAACTCTGTCACGCCATTACGTCGAATGGTCGAGGCGGGGAAGTAAGTCGCTAAGAGCAAGGATGAACCCACAGCCGTGGTTCTTAGTTAGAAGTTGGAAAAACGTCATGAGGTGCGAATTCGAAGGGGGGGAGGGGAAGAGAGGAGAGGGAGAAGGGAGAATGGGGATCGGATTACTCAAAACCGTGTCCCTTGACATCTTGCACGCTTCCTTCCTTTCCGTCTGTCTGTCTACACCACACAGGCGCCTTGGGCATCTCTGCAGAGAATACGTGATATACCCTCCACCGCCGGCGTAGTAGTCTGTAAAACGACGAAACCTCAGTACCCTCTCTACCCAAACTTTACCCCATTGAACACCCACCGTCACAACTTTTTGCCCACCATGTCTGTCGAAGTGCTCGTGCCGCAGATGCAAGAGACGCTGTCTCAGATCCGCGAGACGATAAGCCAACTGAACACCACCAACCAAACGTCACAGCGTCTCGAGGAGCTCGAGAAGAAGCGCGAGCAGCTGCTGTCGGACCTGCGCGAAGCCTTCGAGCGAGAGAGTAAAGAGCTCGAGAAGAAACGCAAAGCGCACGAGGAAGAGATAGCGAGGAAACGTAAGCAAGAGGACGAGGAGAGGGAGGCGAGACGAAGGAGAGAGGACGAGGAGTTGAAGAAGGCGAAGACGAAGGAGGATAGCGAAAGGCAGAAGAAGCACGATACACAAGCGACGAAGGTCGAGGACGATACTGAGAAGCAGATGGATGACATTGAGGAGAAGGCCGAGAAGGCGATTCAGGAGGGCAAGAAGAGGTTGCAGGAGTTGGAGGAGAAGAGGAAGGTTAGTCTTCTTCTTTTCTTCTTTTTGGTCGTGTAAAGAGGTTTCGAGTGTCGTTCGTGTTCGAGGATATTGACAGAGACTTCTCTAGGATCTCAATCGCCGCATTGACGAGCAGCTGAAGAACATCTCGCCGGACGTGCCTAGGCATAAACGGTCGAAATCCAGAAAGGAGCAGCCGCAGAAGACCCCGGAAGGTGCCACAGACTCTGCACCTGCACCTGCAGCGGCCCCAGGTGATCAGGAATCAGCCCACCCCCCTTCTCCGACTAAGAAGCAGCCGCAGAAGACCCCGCAAGGGGCTTCAGACTCTACACCTGCCACGGCCCCTGGTGATCAAGAATCAGCTCAACCTCCTTCCCCTATCAAGCAGAAGGGGGGAGAGAAAGACAAAGTGAAAGAAAAGGAAAAGGAGCAGGAAAAGAACAAGGACCAAGACAAGGTCGCAGAGACGGAGAAAATGAAAGGTGGAGAAAAGGAGAAGGGGGTTGAGAGGAAGGAGATGGAAAAAGACAAGGGCAGTGACCACGAGATGGAGGGGAAAGAGAAGAGTGGTGAGCAGGAGAAGGAGAAGAGTAAGGAAAAGCCGAAGGAGAAAGATAAGGAGAAGCATAACGAGAAAGATAAGGACAAGGGCCACGAGAAGGACACGCATAAGGACAAAAGTAAGGAGAAGGAAAAGGAGAAGGACAAAGACAAGGACAAGGATCATGACAATGACAACCTCTCACCGCCTGAACAGCAGACTCCGAAGGCGAAGCAACATGGTAAGCAGCCCACCCAAACAGTCAGGAGGAAAGATGGTCAGCAGCTGCAGCCAGCAGCAAACGAACCAGCCGCCCAGAACTTGACAAAGTCATTCGCCGAGGCTTTGAAAGATGTCGTGTCTAATGGGCCAAAAAAGGAAAATCCAAACCTCCAAAATCATAACTCTGACTCTGACTCAGATCAACCGAGGCGGCATGGAGGTGAGAAAGGAACTAGTAAGTGTTAGCGACTCGATAGATGAGCTATTTTGTGTCTTGTACCGGAAGTGCTAATACGAATGGTCAGGTATTGACGAGAGACAGCAGAAGAGGAATGGTAAGACATACTCATAGGCTCAGAGCGTCTGACATCGGCTAACACTAATTGGCAGAAATGATAGGAGAAGACGACATCTATAGGGGAGAAGCTGGCATCGCAGAGGAGGATGTGGCTATGAGCCGAAAGTACAGAGAAAGTAAAGATAGAATGGAGGAGCAACGCGCAAGAGAAGAATCGGGAAAAAGTGACAAAAAAGCAGCAACCGACCCCCCGCAAGGAGAAGGTCCTTTGAAATCTAAGAACAGCTTAGGAACGGATACTAAAAGACAACACGGCAGAAGGCCGTCTGTTTCCAAAGGACATCCATCAACTCCCCAACAACAGGATAGTATCCGCCCAAGCAAGCCAACTAGCACGCAAACACCATCGACTGAGAGCGCTGGGGATTTCGCGGTGAGGAACAGGAACTCATCCACCCAAGGCAAGACGGAACCTATGACACCACTACCTGTGCCAGATGATGCCGGGCCAACCAAGAACGAGAAGAAGAGACACGACAGCGGCATTGATCTAGACATTAGCTTCATTCCAGCCTCGCTCAGCCAGCTCCCGCATATTCCGCCTATGACCGCCACAGCCACCAGCTCTGGTATGGAGGCGCTCGAACACCACCTCAGGGAAGAAGCACTTCGCCTCCCGTTGCCGGGCGACGGCATAAAGCCTGCTGGTACAGAGACGAAAGGCCGAGCGCGAGAGGGGGAGGGCGGCGCTGTTGGTATTTCATCAATGACCTTATACTACGTCGATCAACCGTTAACTCACCCCTCAAAGGCACGAAACGCTCCAAACCTGCCAGTGCAGATCAATCTAGCCGAGGGCTACCGTCTGCACCTGAAGAGGGAGGATCTAGCCAAGATGCCGGCCCGGATAATCCGCTGGGGCCCGCCGGGCAAGGAAGTACGGATTCATCTGAACACGGCGTAAGTCGAGGAGGGGAAGTGAAGAGAATTGGTGAAGCAGTCCAGCGCGGTAGGGAAAATCAAGGGAAACTCGCGAAGAAATTTGATGAAGACTATTTCACGGCGCCAGTGAGTCCCAAGACGAAGGGCACTGTGTCATCTGACCCCAGATTGCTATCTGCCGAGCGATTAGCACAACGAGAAGGGCCGACATCTCCTCTACCGGTCGAGAACGAGACGGTGAAAGGTGAAGATACGCTATTCGACGAAGACGCCGGAAGCACGGCGAGCGTCGCCGGGTCTACGATAAGCGAGGACGACAGGTATCCAATCCCACCCCGGAACAGCGTCGCGGACGTGTACCTGCAAGCCAGAGGAGCCGTACCCGCCAGGCCGGGCACTTACGCATCCAGTCTCCGCAATCTTCCAAGCGCAAGAAAAGGGAAGTCAGTTGGAGGGAGTGGAATTTCGGAGCTAGAACAACCAGGCGAGCATATCCCAACACCTGAAGAGGCCCTCAGTTCCCCGGTTCCGGCATTAGTGGTCGAGGAACGTATTCGAGCGCAGTCTCTCGACCGAGTGAAGTCCCCGCCCAAAAGTGCTGACGGCGGAGAAAAGCGACATGTGCCGGGGAGGATGCTCTACAGCGAGGCCCTCGCCTCATCGGCCCCAACCACGAGCCATTCCAGAAACAGGCACAGCCAGCAGAGGCACAAACACAAGCACATGGAGCGTCTGGGGCATCACCATCATCACGCTCATCATCACGCGTCTCGATCTCGAGCTCACTCTCAACCTGCTGCTACTACCACTACTGGTGATAGCGGCGATACTCACACAAAATCGGTAGCCGAAGGAAGCAGCGGAGAAAACAGGAACCATAACCATAACCACGGGCATAATAAGCATCGAAAGGAGACAATGAAGCGTGGCAGGTCCAAGCAGAAGATCCCGCACAACGATAATGAAAGGACGCTGAATCCTAGGGAGCAGCTGTTCAAGGAGAAGGAGGAGGCTGGTGCGGACGTTGATATCAAAAGTTCTTGGTTCAGACATACGGGCATTGTAAATAGCTAGGTATTTTGGACAATAAATGCAATTATTCAGGGAAAATGAATATGAACGAAGTCGCAGGTAGATAAGTGCGGGCAGGTTGAGAATTCTCGCAATCACGGTCCCTCTAGGGTAAAGATACCAGTCACACACTGTCAAGACTAGGTAACACAGCACCAGCCACAAAGACAAGCGCCTCAAGCGCCACACATTCCCCCAAGTTTTGCTGTGCAAACAAAAATTTCCTGTACAAACCGAAAAGTGGAATGGCACAAACTTTAGGACTTTAGGAAAAAGTCAAAAAGATGACCTCGCTGGGGGTCGAACCCAGAATCTCCTGATCACTTTCAAGAACACTCGAAGATGTTGTTTGAATCGTAGTCAGACGCCTTGCCATTGGGCCACGAGGCCAGATGAAGCTGGTTGGTTAGCTTGGATGGAGATGCGTGGTTCAATCATGACTCAACACACCCATGCAAGTGCCTACCGACGATCAAGAGGATCCAAGTTGACCTTCATCTAGCTACCCACTTCTCCCGCATAGCATCCAACCTCTCCAACAAGTCTCCAGGAATCTTCATATACATCAGCGGCAGATACTGCTGCGCGGCATGTACATCCCTCTCCATATAACTCCCCGACGGTATCACCCTCTTGCTACCACCACCCTGCAGCACCCTCGTCGGGATCGTGGCCCTCGGGATCGTGACCTTGAAAGCGCGCGCCGGGTCGAAGAAGCCACACCACACGATCTCCTCCTCTGCTACCCCCAGAACCCTCGCCACCGTCCGAGCGGTCAGGACGCCCGACTCCTTGATGAGGCCGTACTCAGCCTCGGAGCCGAACATGACGTCAAAGGTCACCTCGAAAGGTCCGGCGTTCTTGGACCGCAGCACGCTGGCCACTTGCCCCAGCACGTCGCGGGGTAGGTAGTGTGCCGTTTCGGGGTTGGGGTCGACTTTTGCTGCTTTAGACGGTTCTTTCTTGCTCTTAATGCTCGCTGGGTCCGATGTAGTCTGAGATGACGTCTTGGTCGATCGGGTTTGCTTTTTGCCTACTGCCAGTTTCTTTGATGTGAAAAGTGGCTTCTTGCTGTCCCCGTCTCGTGTCTCGCGGCGCAGTCCTTCCTCCCCTTCGCCGATGTTCATCAGGTGGTAGATGCAGAACTCGGCGCATGGACCGCATGGGATTGTCATGAGGCCGCCGATGCCGAATGCGAAGTTGCCTGATGTCGCCTTTTGGCCGGCGTAGCTCCCGTGCTATTTATGCAGTTCGTTCTATAGTCAGTCTTCGAACTGCATACCTTGCATCTCGTTTTGTGTCAAAGGTTAGAGCAAGAAAAGCACTTACCGTCGTGGCTACCCTCGCCGTAGCCGCTATGCTTGTAGACAGTTCCTGGGTCGGAGCCAGGACCTCGCCGATGATGAAGACCTCCGGAACAGGAGCGCTGTTGTCGGGCTCGTGTTCCGTCTGGCCCCAGATGTGGAATTCCAGCTGCCACTGCCCGTGCGCGTCCTTGTGCTGTTCGGCAACATACAGCTTCACGCGCTTCAGCAGGCTGTCGAGCTGGCGGATCAAGATCGCTTTACCGATGATTTTAGTCAGTGTATTGAGTATGGGACATGTCAGGGAATACGTACGGTCCTTGATACTCCCCATATACATGGTCCGAAAGCCCACACTCTTTGCAGCCTCCAGCTTGACCTGGTACGGCGCGCCCGTCTCGCCCGTCCAGTGAAACGTGCCGCCGTGCGCCCTCACAGTCCTACCGTCGGGCAGCTGTTCGTAATCGGCCGTGTTCAAGTCGAGATATCCTCCCGGCCCGAACAGCATGTCCGGCCTCGACTTCTCGTACAGCGTGTGAGCGGCGACCGAGATGGGCGTGCACCGCGCCTTCGCGTCCAGGGGCGAGATGTCAAAGGTGCCGTTTCGGTACACGGTCGCGATGGCGCCCTGCGACTTGGGCACGGCGCACACGCCGCCGCACTCCATGATCTTGCCCATGTGCGTGAACCCGCCGACAACTTGTCTGTGGCGGAGGAGGAGCTGCTCCTCGTCGTCGTGGTCGTAGTCGAGAGACGCGCCCGAGACGTGGGCTGCGTAGGCGATGTATGGGCTAGGGTCGTAGGCGCGGCCCCCGACGATGACGTTGAAGTCCGGGTTCGCCCGCATCGCGTCCAGGAAGGGCTCCGGTCCCATCTGCGCGACGACGCATCTGCACTCCGTGACGTCGTCCTCTGTGAGCGGTGGCACGCAGCTGCCACATCCGCTTATCTCGCCTGCATTTAGTCGTTCGAGGACTGTTGATTTGTCTATGCCGGAATAGATGGCGATTGCTCGGATATCATAATGCCTATTCATATTCTTCATCAATATCCAATTGCCATCCTCTCCAAAAAAACATTATCACATGATACATGTCTCATTTAACGTACTCATTCCCCTTCTCAGAAGCAATCTCCTGTATAATCGCCATCATCTCATCCACGTGCTCGTCCGTGCCGGCCCCGCCAGCAGAGCTAAAGACGAGCGGGACACCGAAGTCGTGGACGAGCATGAGCAGCTTCGACAGGTCCCGGACGTAGGCTGTCCGGTGACACGACATGTCTCCCAGGGCGAGCTTGGACGGCCCGCTGTCCGTGGACCCGGAGTCGAGGATCAGCGCCGTGGGGACGCCGGTCGGGACGAGGGAGGCGAGAGACGCGCGGGTGGCGAGCTCGTCTAGGCCGTAGCCTAGCATGCCGATGGGTGTCACTATGTGACATATCGGGTCCAGGTCCCCCTTGTCACCGTTGACTGCCATAGTAGGCTACTGCTAGCCGCTGCGAGGTAAGCGGGTGGTTTTTCTCAATTTTTGGAAGCTGAGTAACAGCCAGCAAGTCGAATTATGAATATATGTCTGTCGTGATCGCAAATACTCTCAACCCGCGATACTGTTTCGAAAGCGCGCTGCTGTACGATCAATGGGAAATACAAGTGTTAAATCACGCTGTTCTCATTCGATATTGACGAGTGCAGAGCCACGAAGATGAGTATAAGATACTTTTCCTAACTCCCTTGAACTCTCACTCAATTGTTTACTTCGCTTATCAAATACACCCGACTTCGTACCCCCCGGACGCCACCCTGGTCAAAGGGGGTACGTCATCCAGCCTGCGCGAGCTGCGCCAGCAATCCCAATAAGAACCCACCACATACAAGTAACTTCCCCATTTCAATTTCTTACAGGATCGGTAACTGGCCCGGATATTACTTTTTTGGCCCCATGAATGCCGAAGTAGCCTAACCTAGAAACACGATGGCAACCAACCCTTGGCTGGTTTCCTTATTCCCATACCTTGTCCATACACTGCCCCTCATTCCCCCCCACCTTGTCCTTCGTCAGCAGCCCGAGAAGCCGCACACGCCTCCGGACATCGGAACCGGCACGGCGTATTTATGCAGGGGGAGGGGTTAGTCAAACTTCCACTTTTTTCTAGGACGTTACTTGTTTTTTGTTTTGTCCCTGGGCTCAATCATACTTAACACCTGCATTTCAATCTCATATTCAAATCCCATGTTTTTAGGGGCCTAAAACGTTGAACAGGCCTTTTCAATTTCAAAATGTTTGCCGAAGGACGATATTGTTTAGAGACTAACATAACCTAACCTACCGATTGTGCTATGGTATATCATGAAGGTTGACGACAGCATGGATTCCAGGCACAGCCCCGGCCGGCCCGCATTGACCTAGCTTATCATGTTATATATGTGATTGTGATTTGAACTACGGTTGGGTACTTGGTCACTTTTTCACTAAGAGCGGTGTGATAGGGCCTTACATTTTACACCTGGTTCAGCTTTTCTTATCTTGCTACTCAATTCTTTATTTCTTTTGTTCCATCACTGTTTTATACCGAGTGTCATCGGCACGGGCAGTTGCCATACTCGCTTCTTTGCTATGCATAGTTAGACGGGTAGAGTTGGGAAGTACTCACTCACTTTGGTACCTGGTCAGCAGCGGTGTGCCTGCCATCTCTGTCACCTCGCACACCTCGTCCTACACCCAGCACAGACGCCCCCTCCCAAGACATTCTCCGGACAGGCGATGGGGCGATGCGCCGGACAGGCACAGGCGCACCAGGTCTTGACGTTCTTGTCCCGGAGGCCGCCGCAGTCGCTGCACGTCCAACCGAGGTTCCGGCGCGTGCTCGGACAGCGGCTGCACTTCCACGGCCGCGTCAGGCACGCGGACCCACACGTGTCCTGCAGGTCCGGGACCTCGAGCTTGATGGTCTGGTGCTTGCCGTCGCACGGCGTGTTGGCCTTGTTCTTGCTGCTCGGGAGGAGAAGGTTCGTGGCCCGCGCTTTGGCGCACAGGTCGAAGCTCGTCTTGATGTGCCCGCACGGGTAGTGGGAGATGCGTCGGATGCACATGGTTTTTTTGGGTAGGTAGTGGGTTGTTTTGATGAGGTGAGGCAAGGGAAAAGGAAAGGAATTCTTTACCTAATGTTAGTGAGATGAGATTCGATTCGGACAGTTACCTGGGAAAGAAAGAGTAGGTGTGAGGGAGGAAGAGATCTGTGATTGCTGGATCTGCGATGGATGAGATAAGAAGGAGGAAGGAAATGGTTGTGGTTTATGACGCCTCTCGGATTTATATATACGATTTACAATGCACTGCTGGGCTTGGGAAACATGGTCGGTGTCTGTAAAAAATGAGACACTTGAACAATCTGTGGAAATCCACCATTCTGGGAGAACAAAAAGAAGAATATGAGAGACTTGGGCCGTCAGAGACGCCTGCTTTGTGCTGCAGTCCAGGACAATCATCTTGTCCTTGGACAAAGGAAAAACGAATGACGTCCCAACTCTACACTTCCCAGGGGTGCGACAACCTCCCAGTGGGTACGTGACATCTAAGCCCCTGCCTTCAAAATGCTTTTCAGACAGTCCGAGATACTATCTTCCAGCTTCGCCCAGCCATGTCCAGTAACGCGTCTCAAAAGAGCCTCGGCCCTCTGATTAGGGACCTCGACCCGATCCCAGCCATCATCCGGCAACACGGGGATCTTCCTCTGCGGTTCGAGGTCCTGCAATATCTCGCCCACGCGCTTGAAGCTGAACCGTTCCCCAAACGCCCAGATCCTCTCCCTGTCTACCCCGGGCGTGACCAGCGCGGCCACATACAGCCATCCGAGATCCTTGGTGTCGACGAACCTCTGCGGCCGCACGCCCCGGACCATGTCCAGATTCACTCCGTCGCGGAGCCACTTGACGAAGCCGCACGTGCTCGTGATACCCTGGTCCTTCGGGCTCAGCATCTCGCCCAGCACCGTCTCGGGCAGGATTGTGTTGAACGCGTACGACGGCTCGTGTTCCCTGACCCAGTCCCAGACGCTCTGTTCCAGGAGCGTCTTGAGCGCCATATA